GAATTCAAAAGTACTACAAATAACTGTTCAGTCATTAAATAAATTATTGGTTGAATAATGAATGATTAGTTAAGGTGATCAGTAAATAGAGTCTGAATAGGCTTTTTTTAAATAATAGTGTTATTATGTCATACAATTCATTATTCCGATTTCGGAAAAAATCTTCATAGTATCAAATCAGAATGCGAGTTATTATTGCGATGATAACTAAATCGCATTATTTACATTAATAAACCTCACGATAATTTCTTAATTTACAGTATTTAGCTTGTCAAACTCTTCGCTTTACATTTCCTAGGCCTAAATGTGGTTGTGACAATTTTGCTAACTTTTACCACAAATCTCTTTTTTATGACATAACTAGATTATTACCAATTCAGAAAAAGTTGTATACAGTTATATATGTATCACATATTAGAATGCTAGTTTGTATTATTGCAATAAGTTATTGTTCAATTTATAAAAAAAAAAATATTATTTTTGAATTTATAGTTTATTTTTCGATAGCCCAAAATATTAATCTGGAATCAGTACATACATGTAATACTTTAAATTAGGGAACTTATTAAAATGAAGTGTTTGCAGTTCTAAAATAAGGAGACGTGGTATGATTGTCAATGAGTTAACAGTCTGATAACTATCCACCAGAGTCCAAATAGTGTGGCTGTTAGCAGTTATAAATCACTTTACAGACATTAACAATGAACAAAACATGTTAATTGTTTTCAGGCAACATAGGAAAAAGAATTATTGTGGCTCGGTGGCTTACAAGAAAAGATAAGAAATATAATAATAATAATATGAATAGGAAAATAAGAGAGACAAAAAAGACAGGACTAAGCCACTGGACTATATATAAAGTGCTCCCTCACTTACTAATTCTTAGAGGAGCTGCACTATAGTCTACACTTAGAAAAGAAAGATGTTGGGGACCTAGCCAGAGCAAGAAGAATTTTGAGACTTGGGAACAACAGAGTAGATTTGGGGACACCACATATAGGCCAATCTGCCCTATTTGCTCCCACCTAATGACCTATCAAAATTAATGCCTAGGGTGGGAATTAAACCCATGTACATTTACTCTATTGTTCAATTTGTACTTATATGAAATAAATACAGCTGTAATGTAAATATGGTAATTTACATCATATTTATAGCCTCAATTTTTTATAAAGACCTAGCTAGACCTATTTCTTAGGCAAGGTGTATTATGTAACTCTTGAAAGCAATAAAATCCATTTGTAAATACTAATTATATTGCTGTTCAACAATAATAACAAAACAGTGGTTATTTCTAAGTATGCAGTAACAATAACGTGCATTTTAAGTAAACAAACATCAATTAACGACCACGTATTTGTCTGCTGTGCTTGAATTATAAAACGACCCATCAGCTTTATTTACACGAGTTTTTGATAAGACAGACGGTTAAACGTGTCTTTTTACATTATAAGTTTTATAAACAATTCATTTGTTGTTATGACTTGTGTATGCATGGAAATATAATGAAGATAACATTGATTTTTACCGTACAAAATTGAATACACAACATTCCAGAGATGTACACACCAAACACATCCTACTTTTGTAACGATGGATGGTAACGTATAGCCACTTATATAACAGTAAATTTAATTTGATAAGCTACCGGAAACAATAAATAATTTGCATATTCATGGCCGGACAAGCAATTGTGTCAGCTTTTGTTTTGATGGAAAAATGTAAACATTGGAGTCCGCCATTTTGACGTAGGAAACAAACTAATTTTCAATCTTGAATTACAGGACATTGCGCACGTTGCCAGCATATCATGCACAACCAGTCATGTGAAAATATATCTTCTAATTTGTTTTCTACACTTACTATTGTTAGTTAATTTAATGTTTTAATTTCCTACAGAACGGAACATAGTTCTCGAAGACGACGAAGACAAAAATATAGGTGGCGCTGTTTATGGGCGTGAACATTTTACATACGGGTACTTTTTGTGTCGACAGATTGACTTTTATCTGTCAGATTCAGGCGTTTGCCGTTCAACTGTCAATGGTATCACCAGCTGTCAAGTATTCAGCACTCCTGTGTTGACAAATCATTATACAGCCATTTTCTGTTGATTGTTTCTTTAAATGTTAAATCTATCAACACACTTACTAAAGGGTTTTAAACCCATAGGTATCGATGGACTCTTTTGGTCTCAGTTTTTATGCACATTTTTGGAATTTTGGTTCACCGTTATGCCTTCAACAACTAGCAAAAACCAATACCGTATAATAATCTATAAAATGCCCCCTGGTACCGAATCGAGAAATAATTCGACAAGACATATGGAGCGGCCTGATTAAAGCTGCAAATAATAAAGGAGAAAACAAGAAAGACAGATGGCAACCAATGAGAACCATACGGTAATATTCGATAATATGACGGATAACATATTCTTGTGCGTCAACCCTTCCTAACATGGGATTGTGGTGTAGCAAAATTCATTGAAAAAACAATACAAATTCGTTGAAAATAGCTTAACTGAGCGTAGCAAGAACTAATAAATGAAAACGACTATCTACGGAAAAAAGCTAGTTCAATTTTTGTAATGCAGTATATTTATAGTAAATAAGTTAAATGTTGTAAGTTCCGTTAAAGATAATATTTATGAATCTCACTACAATGTTAAATTAAAAGATTAATTGATAAACAACAAACAACAAACAATAGAAAATTTACTACATTGAAGAAGCGAAAATCGTCTGGTTTGTTTATTGTATTTCAATATAGAAATCTCTTTTTGTAACATCACAAGTACAATCACGAAATGGACAATTATTGCTATAAAAAGTAAATTCGTTAAAATTCAGTTCACTGGAGTAAAATTCTACAAGATAATGAGAGAATTCTTAAATGTTTGAAGCAAAACAAATCACGTATAGTTAGCAAGTAATTCAGAAATCTGTTATGAATTATTAGAGTGTTTGCTTTTAAGACTCTTTTTAATAATAAATCAGTTCACATTTAACGAATTTAGTGTAAAGACGCCATAAACAGTCTGAGAAACGCATGTTGTGCAATGACAAAATATAAGTAAACAGGTACGACAGGATATAGGATCATGAGTTTGCATAACTGCACATATATCGTAATATATATATATATAAAAAAAGGGCTACTGAATCAATACTAGCTGGAACCTTAAAAGGGATAGCATATAATATAAAAAAGGAAATGTGATAGGATATTTTTGAGACAACTATATACCAGAGGTCATGTTTACTTTTGCCGAAAAGTTTTAAGCTACAGGTTTTAATCGAGAACACACAAACTATATCTCAAATATAATCCATATATGACAAGACTAGAGGATTGGATATAAAGTATAAAGCATTATCCCATTTACTCGTACAAGACGATAAAATGTCCAGAAACCTACAAAACGTTACTTCGATGCACATTTTGTTGCACATCGTTCGCTAACAGTGTAAGTATGAGCAAAATATAACACAAAAGTATAATTTCAAAATCTAAATAACCAAACCAAACCAAACAAAGGATCAAACAACAACAAAAAAACAATAAATAACAATTAAATTAAAGAAATAGTATTGCGTATATTAGCTTTCATAAACAATCCTTACAAGAGATCAACGTACTGCGCCTTAGACATCTTAAAACATGAAACTTTCTCGTTGTAGAGGATTTGGAATACCATTGGCAGTTGTCTTAGCGTGTTTTGCAACTGTACATTTGAATGCGACGTGTAAAGATTTAACCAGTATTAAGAAGAAAACTTCTGAAGGCATGATATTACAAAAGTCATCAACACTACAACTGGCAAATGACATACCAGTATACGCTGCTGCGTGTAAGTGTGTTTAGGTTTTTGAATAAAAGCGTTACAACCAAAAAAACTTACCAAATTGGGTTTTCATTATAGCTATCCTCAACATTTTTATTTTGATACCCGTCGAAGAAATGCGTTTTTGTTTGCAGGAAATCGAACTATATTTATGAACAAAAAAGTAATAAGTTTTCATTTCTTTTGCATTATTTTTCATTTGTACATAATACATCATATTCCCCGTATCAACGTGTTGCCTTTTTAATGTTTTTATAAGCCCGGTATCGTTGATGATTTGTTTTTATAATGATAGAATACATAAAACTTGAGAAGTGTCGTGGTTTTCTAATACCATTCTGGAACTGTTTTTCCGTCCGAAACACTGCACTGATAACGGAGCCCGTATAATATCATTATGATCATGATTTTTTCTGATAATGTTTCATATTTATAAAAATTCCACAAAAGCCTGTTTTCGATTTCATCATTTTTACCTTCACTTTGCACTAATAAGTAACATTAAAGATTTGAACATGCATAAACTTGTAAAAGCATTATTGTCTTCGACAAGGTCAAAATTAAATTAGTATCCGACATTATGCAATTCATTTTTTACGTATTTTGCAATCTATCTTTTACATGTCCCTAGTTATGCACTCCTTGAGAATATCATTCCAGTAACAAAAATCTTGTTGAACACGGTGTATGACATTTGAGGAACAGGAAGTTTTCAACCTTGAGCATATGAATTCACTGCGGGTTTGTTGGGGTTGGTGTTGATCAGACTTTTTTTTAAAACAAAACTACATAATCTTTTATGTGATATATTTTACTAAGCTAATAGTATTGGGCCTGTGTGTCGTTTTCATTTAGACATGGTCCTGTCATTTTATGGAATGTATGGTTTTGTTTCGATCCCTTGTCATGTTCTATTTTTTTAAAGAACTATGCATAAATTTATGCATACAATATATTGAAAGAACCAATGCTTATACGATATCTTTTCCCTCTCGTTTCTAATTAAAATAATTGTAGGTCGGTCCAGAAAATCGAAGAGTGTGTATACGTTTTATTTTACAAACCATGATGATTTGAAGTAATTGTTACTTCTGAATTATTCGGGATGTAACAAGCAAAAATGGATTTTACGGCAAGTTTTTGTTATCAATTATAGGTGTACGTTTGCAAAACGGCAAATATGATACAGTGATAGCATCACAAAGGCAACTGGCTGGTCAATTTGGTGAAACGGATAACAATGACAGCGTTTATAGCAATACTGCAAAGTTTCTCGATGGCTATGAGACTGAATCAGCGTTATGTAGCATTGCAGGGAATGTTCACGAAACATCGGAACATCCAGAAAATAATCCAACTGTTGATCCTCCTACATACCAAGAAGCAAGATGTTTAAATAATTGCCTATATGAAACATCGTTGTAACAATTGCATTTAATGTGTATACCAAAAGTAGTATCTCCGAAACCTGTATTTGATTTACTTTTAGTACGCAAACTTCAGATGTTTGTTTTCATCGGTCAGTTTGTTAACAACAATTAACAGGAGACAACTTGAAAACTGGTCAAAAGTACATTATAATTAATTTGTAATAATTTCTTAATCTTTAAAATGTATTCTAACAAAAATTTCGTATTTGAATAGTCCCTAATTTTATTATCCTAATTGAAAGAATTTTTCAATTGTTTTGTTGTGCTTCATACATTGTCATATCCATCCTAGATCTGGATAGATCACAATAATATTTTATATGATGGAATAATTATCATAAAAGGATACCAAATGCACGGAGGTCGCAATTTGACATTATAGGCAAAATCAATGAAATTAATGTATGTTGAAACTAAAAAAGGTACTGTTAACCGGGAAATTTTCGCGCCGTCTTTTTTTCGCGATTAACCAAGAAAATCTAAATTCGGGCTGTTTTGAATTCGCGATGTCCAGGTGTCCTATTTAAGTTTTTCAGAAACGACTCGGAAACTGTACAGTTTTACATGTATTTAAATCAAGTGATACATTCAGAAATCCTTTTTGTCGGTTCATATTTAAACTTATTAGTCATGTTTGTTTTATAAAAACACATTCACAACAAACAGAAAGGAATGACCTAATTAAGAGTGAACTAAATGCTGACAGGATTACTGCTATTTAATTAATATTTTGATCGTATTGATCCATACAGCAGATAGACTAAGGTAATCAGTTTAAAACTGATTGATATGTGTCATTTGCATAAATTTAACGATAGTTGTTTATTTAGCAATATCCGTAATGTCCATTTGCTTGAGATGTCTTTCATGTTAATTAGACTAACAGGAGCTAAAGTTGTGATTTCAGACATTGACTTTCAAATAAAGTTAGTTTTGTGGTATAGATCTGTTGTCTGTTAAACTTATCCTATTGATATACGGTCATGTATGATCACCTTTGTGTTCGGTTTTCCTTGAAATAGTCAAAGTCGTTTTATTTTTGCGTTTCAACTCTTACCGCAAAAGTAGCGAAAACAAAACTGCCGCTAAAATTTCCCTGTTTACAGTATCTTATGCAAAAACAAGAGCTTTTCATATCCAAATACGACAGTATTTTTTTCTTCTTCCGATACTCAAATGTACTAGTTGTATATGTATTTACATTGAAAGCATTATTCATTAAAACAATATTGTTTTATCTCATATTCCTGTGTGACCTATAATAGTTGGTAAATAATTCGGACATACCATTACGGATGACAATTTTATTATAGACATAATTTAGAGGTAACAGTGGTTTACGTTTGTTCAAATCTCATTAATCCGTCAAGAAGATACAATCAAAGTAAAACAAACAAAACTGTGGTAATTACATGAACCCAAAGGGTGTGATGACTGAATTGGAAAAGTAATATTTGGTTATACTATATAGAAAAGTTCTTGTGGTGTTCTGTTGTACCACCGTTTCAGGATAAGCGGAAGGTTGGGCGCCCGCTAACATGTTTAACCGCACCACATTCTTTATGTGTATGTCCCAGGTCAGGAGCAAGTAATTCAGTGGTTGTTGTTGTTGTATATCATACTTATATTTCGTTTTTTTGTTGTTGTAGAATGTAGTAGAATGTGTCCCCGTGCTTGTGGTGTATGCCCTTATATTTTTCAATTATGGGCTGTTTGCCTGTGAGAGTTTATAAGTGTTTCTCGTTTCTCGTTTTTTATTTAGATTAGACCGTTGGTTTTCCCGTTTGAATGGTTTTACACTAGTAATTTTTGGGGCCCTTTTTAGATTGCTGTTCGGTGTGAGCCAAGGCTCCGTGTTGAAGACCGTACTTTGACCTATATTGGTTTACTTTTATAAATTTTGACTTGGATGGGGAGCTGTTTTGGGGAGGGATAAATCCTACTTTGTAAAGAATCACTCTGATTCAAACAAAAGATTTTCTGAAACTGACATTATCAAGATGCTTGATTTCTTGATTGACGACATATTTGTTACGTATGGAGGGCGTGTTTTTCAACAGACTGTCGGAATTCCAATGGGAACCAATTGTGCCCTCTTCTTGCCGACTTGTTTCTTTGTTATTATGAGGCTGACTTCATACAGGAACTTCTTAGGAAGAAAGATAAGAAGTTAGCAATATCCTTTAACTTTACGTTCCGCTATATAGATGATGTTCTCTCACTAAATAATACAAAATTTGGTGACTATGTTGAACCAATCTATCCCATCGAACTAGTGATAAAGGATACTACAGATACAGTTAAGTCTGCCTCATATCTTGACTTACATTTAGAAATTGACAAAGAGGGTCGGTTGAAAACAAAACGTTACGACAGAAGAGATGATTTCAGCTTCCCAATTGGGAACTTTCCATTTCTATGTAGCAACATTCAGCAGCGCCTGCATACGGAGTATATATATCCCAATTAATACGATATTCCAGGGCTTGTATTTCCTATCATGATTTCCTTGATAGAGGATTGCTGCTCACAAGGAAGCTATTAAACCAAGAGTTCCAAATGGTGAAGTTGAAATCATCCCTCCGTAAATTTTACGGACGCCATCACGAGTTGGTTGACCGTTATGGAAGAACCGTTTCACAGATGATATCGGATATGTACCTTATGTCGTTACTACAATACCCTTCCCTTTTTCACGAATGTGACCTACCGAATTAGACTATTTACCGGATTTGTAATAACATAAGCAACACGACGGGTGCCACATGTGGAGCAGGATCTGCTTACCCTTCCGGAGCACCTGAGATCACCCCCAGTTTTTGGTGGGGTTCGTGTTGCTTAGTCTTTAGTTTTCTATGTTGTGTCATCTGTACCATTATTTGTTTGTTTGTCTTTTTATTTTTGGCCATGGCGTTGTCAGTTTGTTTTCGATCTATGAGTTTGACTGTCCCTCTGGTATCTTTCGTCCCTCTTTTGTCTCATTGGCACTCATACCACATCTTCTTATATCTATATATATTGTACACAAATCAGGCTGTAGTGGCTTACCAAATTTTGGATTCTTAAGAACTCCTGTAAAATTTGAAATCTCGGTCATTTTCTGAAATAAATTCTATCAAAGCCTTTATTTTTTTCACCTTTTACACCGACATACAATATGAAAAATGAAAAACCTGTCTTAAAGAATATTCACAATGCTTTCCACCATAAACATGGTACCATACACTACCATTTTTTTCTTTTGGAATATAAATTTAGTTAAAAATGATCCCGAAAAAAGCATGCTACACCGAAGAACAAGTGATCAGTATGTTTCTCATTGACAACATATTTTTGATCTACAAAAAAAAAATCCTGTCGGTTGTCGGCTTCTATGGGTACCAACTGTTCACCTCTCCTAGCCAGCCTTTTCTTATTTCCATACAAGTCGGAGTTCCTTAAAAAAAAAGATCAAAGAAGCTAGATTATTTAATTTCACATACAGGTATATTGAAGATGTTCTTTCAATTAACAATCCAAAGTTTTCGGATTTTGTCCCATCAATATACCCTCTTTAACGACAGATTAACGAAACAACAGATACAGATTCCTCTTGATCATTTCTAGACATTTACATCGAATTGTACAATAGTGGTCTACTAAGTACCAGAATCTATGACAAACAAGAATATTTTAATTTTGAAATTTTCAATTTTCCTTACCTTACACTACAAACTGCTCAGAGTCTGAAAAGACCATATTTTGTGCTCGACCAGTAAGGTGGAGCACAGATTTTACTTGATTAGACTCGACATAATCTCGACAGTACTTAACTGTACATAACTGTACTCGACCTTGGTCTCGACTTTACTTAATAAGTCTGATTAAGTACTTGATAATTTTGGTATAGTCTGAATATGGTCTTGACCAGTCTCGACCAGTCTCGACTCAATCTCGACTCAGTCTTGACCTGTCTCGACCTGTCTCGATCAGTCTCGACTCAGTCATGACTAGTCTCGACCTGTCTCCACTCAGTATTGACCTTTACATTTAGTCTAGACTGGTCTGAATCAGCCCATCTAACACAATTATATATTGATCTTACAGAATGCCAGGTTGTTTGGTAGTTTGGTTCTTTACTGTCAAATGTAAGGATTTAATTAATGGTTAAAGAAATCTAGAATTTTCAGTTCGGACTTAATTCAGATAGTCACCTTTAAATTTTATTATAACTTTTTCAAATCAACTTGGATTTTCATCAAACTAAACAGCTATCTCAACTATATATTGATCTTAAAGAAAGTCAGGTTGTTTGAAGTTTGATTTATTTCTGTCAAATTCTATGATTTAAGTTGTAGGTAAAAAAAGCTGGAATTTTCAGTTCTGATTAATTCAGATAGTCACCTTTAATTATTTCTATAACTTTATAAAATCAACTTGGATTTTCATAAAACTTTACAGCTATCTCAATTATGAATAGATAAGACTGATTCGAGACTGGTTGAGACAGTTCGCGACTGATCAAGACTGAGTCGAGACTGGTCGAGACAGGTCAAGACTGAGTCGAGACAGGTCAAGACTGAGTCGAGACTGGTCAAGACTGGTCTAGACTGGTCAAGAATATATTCAGACTATACCAAAATTATCAAGTACTTAATCAGACTTATTAAGTAAAGTCGAGACCAAAGTCGAGTACATTTTAGTACTGTCGAGATTATGTCGAGTCTAATCAAGTAAAATCTGTGCTTTTTCAGACTCTGAGCAGTTTGTAGTGTTAGCAGCAATAAACCAACTTCACCTGCGTATGGGTTATATATTTCTAAACTCTTACGATATTTCAGAGCTTGTAGCTACTATTCAGACTTTGATAAACGTCATCGTTGTTTGGGCAAAAAATTAATGAGCCAGGATTTTTTCAAAGAACGTCACGCCCTTTTTCCCACAAAATTGATCGGAAAGTGCAAAGACCTAATAGATAACTATTCAGTGTGTACTAAAAACATAATACAATATGGGCCTGAGTTATAGATTCTAAATTCTGAAGTTGTGTATCTTTTTTTTTTTTACTATAGTTTCCCCGTAATTTGTCTTCGTGCTATTACGTTTCTTTTGGTCATTTGACTTTCGATGTGACTCGGTATTTATGCATCCCGCCATCGGGTTTTGGACGTTTTACCTTTTGACGTTCCTGGTGCGGGTGGGTCCTGAGGTGCAATTCGGACACAAGGGTTTTTTAAAGTGTTGGTTATAATCTGTTTATCATTGTATTTATATTTACGGTATTTACTATCAACGACAGAAACCTTTTTTTTTCGTTGACGTCATTGTCAAGTTTACGTCACCGATGAGTCTTTTGAAGTACTTAACTCTTTGACAAACGAGACGATTTCAATTTTTCAATTATACATTTTCCTCATCTTAGCAGCCATATACCAACTTCACCCATGTATGGAGTACACCTTTCTCAATTCATACGATATTCAAGAGCTTTTTTTTTTACATTGGACGTTCCTGGTGCAGGTGGGTCCTGAAGGGCGATTCAGACGCAGGATAGTTATTTTCTTTACAGTTTTGTTTCCATTGTGTTTACCCTTTTGATTTATATATACTTAAATTGTACTTTATCGAGAAGGTGTGTGCTATATACGGTATGTACCACCAACATTAAAATCTTTTTTGATGGTGTCTTTTTTAAATTTATTTGTATGTTTGTCTATTAGTTTACACATTTTTGCTGCTGGATCCTAATTATTGTCAAATTTACCTAAAATGTCAGTTTAAATCTTTAAATCCATTTTGTCAATATAGCGAAACTATACAGTACTGTCATACAAGTGGGAGGTTAAGCTATATATCTATAAAACCAGCTTTACCCCACCATTTTATTCGGTAAATGCCTGTACCAAGTCAGGCAAATGATAGTTGTCTTTCGCTCGTTCCGTTTATTGATAACTTTTGATTTTGTCAATTTTATGGACTTCCCCTTTTTGAATATACATTGGAGTTTGTTCTTTTTGTTATATTTTTTTATGACGTAGTTGATAATTATGATAAAGCAATGGTTGATAGTTCATGTGTTAGGAGGATATTTTGGTACATAATAATATAAGCAATTATAGTGGAACTTTTCCTCGAACATAATACCCCATACAGGAGGCATTTCAAATTTGTGATTTAAAGAAAAAAACTGACCTTGTCAAACAGGTAAGGTCGAACTCTGAAATTCGAGTACTGTCGGTTTTTCGAGTTTTTAATCCC